AAAAAAAAAAAAAGAGAAGAGCTATAGTATGCATCCAGTTACAACTGAAACCCAAACAAAACGAAATAATATATTATTTCTGGATATAAAAAATGCTTTGAAAGACAGATGTCCCCTATGCCTATTGCATCAATATTCAGAATACACACGGTATACCAATAACCTAAATGTCCAGCTGTGAATGCCTGGATAAAGAAGTTGTGGGATAGTAGGTGGAAAACTCCTCAACTATTTAAAAAAGATGTTATCTGTCTTTTATGACAATATGGATGGAACTTAAGGAGAATTATGCTAAGTAAAATAAGTGAGAAAATAAAAGAATAAATTATCAAATGGCTAATGGTGCATGTGAACTATAAATAGCCAAAGCAAATGAATAAACAAATCACAATAAAAATAACTCAGACTGTGAAAAGTATGTTGGACCCCAGAGGGGGAGGAGAAGTGGGAGGAGAGGCAGAAGGTATCAGACCAGTAATGGGAAGGACACAAGAACCTTGACAGTGCGCAAAGTTGAGTCTTACACACACAGAGGTATGAAGCTGTATGCAGTATTGTGAATCATGGGAAATTAATAAAAGTGTAATTAATGATACTTCAAAAAGCACAAGCATAACAAGTATAAAATTTGGGATTTTGGTCACCTTTCAGAGAAGCCAAAGGTCACCTTTCAGTAATATTTACATTTTCAAGCTGGGTGGTAGTTTCATGAGTTTCTAATTACTCATGTAGGCAACACTATTCAGGACGGAATCCAGGGCCCGCTTGCCAGCTCCAGCTGGACAGCCCTTCCTCAGGAGCACATGGATCCAACATCTCAGGAGACAAGACTCAGTGGTCATCTCCAGGCTGCAGAGACCACAGAGACCATGACCGTCTTCTAAACCACTGACATAAACTGACGTGACCACCTCTCTGCCTGAGCCCCTGGGGCGCAGAGTGAGCCTAAAGCTCTCTTCCACAAATCATTCTGTCTTTGGTATAGCCCAGAGGATTTTTCGACACAAAAGTCAAAGTCAAAGCCACCCAGACTGAAAAGCACTGAAATCCGAGAAGCAACCGCAGGACATAGGTTAGATTTCACATAGTAAGTTTGCTGGTCACTTTTTAGATTTCTGGGCCAGAAGAACCACAGCAAAGGCAGAAGTCTGAGGGAGGGACACACTTGGAACTCAGTTCTTTCAGGTGCTCTTCTACTGTTTTCCATCGCCACTGCACCATTTCACATTCCCACCAACAGTGTACATGTTCTTGTCAACACTAGCTATTTTCTGTTTTATTTGGGGGGGATGGTTGTTGGGGTTTGATAGTAGATATTCTAATGGGTAGAAGGTTATAGTTTTGACTTGCATTTCTCAACGATTAATGATGATGAACATCTTTTTATATACTTATTGGCCGTTTATCTGCTTGGGAGAAAAGTCTATTCAAGTCCTTCCCCATTTCAGAATCGGGTTGTTCTAATTATTTATTCATCCAACACCTGTGTGATGCTCACTATTTGCCAGCATACATTTGTGTGTTACTCCTGATAACCTATGAAATAGAAGCTGGTTTTGCTGCTAGAAGGTATACCTGTCCAAGGTCACAGTTGCAGGACATGGGCCCTGGGAAACCTGACTCCCTGGTGCAGACATGTAATTTCTGGGTGCTGTTGCCATGTGAATAACACCCCTCCCATTGGTTCACTCCTAATTCTGTCAAGCCTTGGACATTTAATTCATCTCTGCTTGGGGTCAAAGAAGTGGAAGCACTGAAGGCAAGTGGCCTCTATTGACCCAACCTGGGAGATAGCCCCAATACTATGAATGTAAGAAACCCAGGGCTCCTTGGTACCCCAAGAGGGCTGGAAACTGTTCTTCTAGGGCTAGAATCACTTGTCCCATTCAAACGTATTCTCAGCAAGTGATTTCACTAAGAATGCAGGAGAGGACACGTGTCAGGCCTTTGAGCAGTTATTTTGAGGATAATGTGTCTTGAGGCTCCATGCCCAGGCAAATTTAAAAATAAGCAGGTTTCCAACATCTAAGGATGGGCCAGTCTCTGAGGTTATTGAGTAAAAAGTCAACACCGTAAAGTCAATTACTCTATTGACAGATACTCTTAGGAGGAGACTTCACATCATAATTATATGCAAAGGAACCCAGCAAATACAAGCTGTGTAATGATCAGCTAATAAAAGTAACACTTCATCTATGTCAATAACAGTTTCAGAGTTAAGACAAACAAACATGGCCTTTGCCACTCAGTGGAGGAAAAAAAATCCCTGAAAGACAAATATTTTTATTTAAGGAAAAGTCGCTCAGACTCACACAGAAAACCCATCGCACAAAGCAGAATAGGAAACTCATCTTGAGTGGGTGCTAATGAGGCTCCCTGCAGCCCCAGTGAACTGGCTGGGGCCCCCCTTCCCCCACAACATCTGAACAGCCCTGGGAACCCATGGTCACTGGCTGCTGCTCCCATCTCTGTGGGACATTTTCTGTTTGACCTCAGCTAAATTTCGGTTCCACAGACACATGGCCAAATGAACCTTCTTTTAAATTACAAAGAACTTGAAGGAACAGAATAGCCCCCGCTCCACCCTGCCCATACTCCTCAGTGGGTTTATAAGATGCTGATTCTGTAAATACCCACATAGCTATGTTAGTGTTGACTCTTCCTGAGAACATCTCAGTACTTTCTATTTGCCAGGCCTTCAGGACGTAACAAGGCACCACAGGTGCACCTCAGCCACTGCAAGTTGGTTCCAGACACCCCAACAAAGCGGATGTTGCAATAAAGCATGTTACACCATCCCCCCATCCCAAGACACAGAATGTTTACTGTAGTCTGTTAAGTATGCAGGATTCTGAAGTCTAAGAAAACAAGACTTTATTGCTAAAATATGTAACACGGGGACATGAAGTAAGTACATGTTGGAAACATGGCATCAATGGGCTCGCGAAGAGCAATGAAATAGCAACATTCCTCTCCTAACTTTTCTGACATTTGAGGTAGAAGGTGCGGAACTGGTATCTTGACATGTGTGGACAAAGCCACACCTCAGCTTCACTGCTGGTTGTCTCTATTCCGAGTGGTAACCAGACTGGTGTCTGCTAGCAAGGGTGGCATATTTTACTAAAGTAGTTCTGTTCAAAGCCCCTATGGTGCTCAGTGCCAGACAGACATGGAATGGTCTATGCCTCCGTGAAGCTGCTGTCACTCCGCCCCAAGCTACCCTCCACAGCGTCTGGGATGCTGGGCTGGCGGGCTGGACCAGCCACTGGGGGTGCCAGGGAGATTGAGAAGGAGGTGAAGGAGAAGGAACAAGCACGTGTTGGTGTTTCCACTTCCTCAACCCCACCTCTGCTTCATCGCAGCTGCTGAATCGCTCTGCAGTTCTTCTGACACTTCTCCACGTGCCCCTAGAGTCACCTGCCGGACGGCAGGAGCCTTCCCAGGCACAGGTGCCAGTCCCTGGCCCAGAGGTCTGAGGCTCAGCTCCAGGGGCAACTGTTCCAACTTCTTCCCTCTGTTCCCTCCGCCTGAGGGCTGGGGCTGCTTCCTGCTATGGCTCCCAGGGATATGAATTCTTTCTACCCTTCCAGGCATCTGGTTAGTAACTCTGCTGGCCAAAGGCCCCCTTTATTCCTTGAAGTTACCTGTTCCAGTATCCATCTTGTATGGTCTCCATCTCCTGACTGGAACTGGCCAATACCTGAGTCTGGCCCTAGAACCACCTACGGCCTTTCCTTCTAGAAGGGACCAGTGGGAGGTGCTCACAGGACTGGCTAAGACGCAACAACACTCCCCTGTTTTTTATCTTCTAGTCAGAACGTAGTCAGGAGGGAAAAATCAGTCATTAAAATAATGCCTCCAGAGGGCACTAACTAGTAAAATTTGCGATGATGTATGCCATGGGGGTACCCCGAAGATGGGGACTCGGGCCCACTGAGAGCCAATCTGGCTCAGGGCTCCTCTCTACCCACCGGCCTTCTGTGCCTCTCATCAGGCATGATGATGCCAAGCAGGATCATGCCAAGCAGGAGGCCAGGCTTGAAGACACTAAGAGAACGACCCCCGAACTGGAAGCCTGTCCTTAGTACTTGCAAATGACAGTCAGAAAACAGCTGGTGGTCTCAAGTCACCTCATCGAAGAGGTGAGGCAGGAAAGAGAGGATGGGAAACAGAACACGTAGCTTTCACAAGGTGAGGCAAAGGCACTGCTAGTCCGGCTTCGAGAAAGAGCTTGGCTACTTGTCATCTCCAGGATTCTGCATCAAAGGGGCAGAGAACGATGCCGAGAAGCACAAGGCGCTTCCTATCACTGTGGGAAAACATCACCACATTGGACCCACAGCTGGGACCGGCCCACTTACCGTTCTGTGACTCAATAGTTCCTACACATTTCCCTCTTGATCAGGTTCCAGACACCAGTACCTGCCCCGGATCCCCTGGCTAAAGCAGGCAGCGCTGAAAGCCACCAGGAAGAGGACAGAGCAGGGGCTTCACAGCCAGGCTCACCCCCAGGAGTCTGACCGCGCCTCTCCCTCGGCCCAGCTCCTCCCCTCTCTGAGGTGGTTTCCTCTGGGATGCGAACTTGGTCCTCACATGCAGGAATTAGCATGGAGAGGTCAAACACACCCCCAAAGTCGAAGGAGTAGGTAAGTAGAGGGCTCAGTCTATAGCTGGAGGCCTCAGTCTCAATTCGAATGAACAACTCACCTACTATTTCCTTCTACCCTCATTGCCTGTCTTCTTCTCAGGATAAAAATTACCCTCAATTACATTCCTCAACATCTTCTCATCTGGAAAGAAACCAAGATAATTTACCTGACGGCCCAAGAAGCAGCAACTGGCATTTGGGTGGGGGTCTCCGGGATTAAGTTCAACTTTCTGGAAAACTGAAACCAGGTTACAGCCCTCACTAGTCAGAGGCTGTTTCTCTCCACCCCTCAGATGCCAGGTGGGCCACACGACGTCCTTCCCATGCTTTGCCCAGCAAGCTCCTTGCTTACCTCACCGTGGCCGTCATTCCAATGGGGGTGATGGGCAATGGCCGGACTCCGGGAAACAGCCCTCGGCTCAGAACCCGCGCTCCATTTTGAATCACTCCTGGAGGAACTGGAAAAGCAAAAACGGAAAAGGCATCACACATGAATTCAACTGTGACGAGTTCTGTTGTAAGTCAGAAAATGTGGAAATAGCAGAGACAGAGCAGAGAAAAAGAGATAGTCATCGGCACAGAACGCTCTCTCTGTCTCACACATACAGACACACACTCACACACAGGGAAATAAAGGAAGATAGAGATAGAGAAAGAAGCCAAGCAAGCACGTGTGAGACTAAGGTAGAAAGATACCATGCTGTAAGAAAGAGCTTTGCTCAACCAAGTCAGACCAACGACTTACACAAAAATTACTGATGTCTGTTTAAAAAAAAAAAAAAGTGAGTTTTGAAAAAGGGGCTTCAAGCCTTATTTTCTTACTTTATTAAATGTAAGCTTTAATCTCTAGTCAGATCTTAACCAGATCTCAAGAATGCTGACACATGTGGATAGCAGGTGACTAAATAAAGTCCATTTCCTGTGCCCCCTGGAAATGAGCATCTTTTTCTTTATCCTTAATTCAATAAAGGAAAAAGACAGCTAAAAGTTGCTTTTACAAGCTACTAGGTATCAGTGTTCTTCACACACTCCATCCCCACAATGGTCTCTGCTACCTGAGGGAAGGTCTTCAGGGAGGACAGGAAGGTAGGCAGTAAAGCTCTGGTTTCCGCCTTCGAATCACCTAGAATCTGGTCTGAGTGCCCAAGTTTCTCTTTCTCTGAAGCTTCAAGCAAGACACCATGCCACCGTTGCTGACCGACCAACTAACTTGCCAAGTAACCCGAGGCCAACCTTGTTTGCTAGTGGTCATCAGATCCTGTTTATTTTCTAACCAACTCAAGTGGCTTCACACCAGCTTGATTTTATCTGAGGATTTACACGCCAGGGCAACCCCAGGAAATTCCTGGTATTTGATCTTTTCTGACCTCCCCAAACGCAAGTTCACGCGGTTCAAGCCAGTCCTCTCCCTACACCTACAGCACTCTATCTATGGGGACAGCTGTACACCACGAGGCAAGAACTCTGATAGAAGGCTTGTTCGCTTGCTTGCGTGGCTTTTAATTCTAGCTGTCCTGGGTGACTTTGCACAAGTCTCCCAGTCTTTCCTTTCTCTAAACAGAGAGGGATAAAAAGCATGAAATGATCTGTAATAGGATGTTGCAGCTAATTATCACAGTTTGATGATGAGTTTCTATAAGAGTGTCTAAAAATTTATATTTTAACCTGATTAACAAGACTCCCTATATAGCTACCCGACAGTGTGATATAGATTTAAATACAGTATGTATATAAACCAATAAAACAAAAAAAGTCCAGAAATTGACCCACACATGTAATTAACTGATTTATGATGAAGGTATCGAGACAATACACTTAGCAGAGTTAGACCAACTGAAGATCGACTTCGGAAAAAATGAAACTTGGACCTTACTTCATATCACATGTGAAACTACAAATATAAATGTTAAGAACTAGAGCTACAAAAGGTCTAGAAGTAAGTATCAGAGAAAAAAACCAGTAATTTCCAAGTCAGACATATGAAAAACCCAGTTAAATTCTGCATTTTAGACAGTGTCTTCATGTAAGTGGCCTGAAAAGACTGGCTTTTGGTTTGAGCACTATAGGAAAGTTTTTTCACTTATTTTGCTGTATCAAACTCTCTTCAAAACCATTAGTTGACTGCAGGTTCAGTTTAATTCTGATAATACTTCCTAATATCAGTAGTAGGGGTCTTAGCTAGAGCAGCAAGTGTATCTGAGAGAATGAACCACTTGTAAATATTTGAAATCTGTACTAGTTCTTGCTAGAAGAAGTAACAACGCTACATACAGCTTTTAACATCACCGGATTCAATCTTTAACCTTTTGCCTCTGTGTGAGGAGAGAGAGACTCAGGGTCACGACGGTTAAGTGGGACACAGAGAGAACTGAAGAGGCAACAAACGTGTATCATGAGGAACGCGGGGTAGGGAGTCCACAGGTATGAAAGATGTGGTGACTAACTCAACTAGGGGCTATATCTGGGAAGACTTCCTGAAGGAAGTGCCACTCAAGGTCAAAGGCAGAGGAATGGCACAGACAAGACCAAGCAAGTAAAATGTTATTTTGCTAAAGTATATAACCCTAGCGGGAATGAGATCATTTGCATTTATCACAAGGATACTGGGGAAAGTACTAAGGGGATTTGGGCAGGGAGATGGTCTGCAACAGAGGACGAGAGCCAGACCGGTATGGGGTGACCCCGACTATGTCCTCTCTCTGCCACGTATGCTGCATAGACCCTGAGCAAGCTACTTAGGTAAGATGGAAAGAGGTTAGTTACCAGTATCATCATCGCCATCATCAACACAATCAGTGTCCAGATAGAGACTGTGCTACTGGTGACCTGTGACCTCCCCAGCAAGTGACAGAATGAGACACAAAGCCAACCATGTTGAAAGAATCCAACCACCTTCCCGTAGGGGGCAGGGACTGCTCCAGGGTGCTTCCAGCTGCCTGTGCACAACATGTCAGAGCCACTATGGTGAAAACGCCCAAAACATCTAACCTCCTGGGGCGAAGGCTAAGGACCCTGCAACATAAATAGGCCAAATGGAAGCGAAGGAGCCATATTTTTCTGGACTCAGCCCTCCTCATGGACGTTCTGCAGTCAAAAGACAACAGCAGCCTGGGGACAGAGACCCATGACTGGAACCCTCCACCTAAATGCCTGGAACGTTCAGCACCAAAGGTGCACGAGCAGGAAGGGAAACAGAGGAAGGAGGTCAGACCCCACCAAGCACCTCTGACTCTCACTTCTCATTTAACCTGAGAAAGTAAGTACCTCAGGTCCTCAGATAAAGGCCTTTCATTATAATGCTCATGAGAAAAAGTAGGTCCCCCCACTGTGGCCACGGTCTGTCTTGAGTTTCTCCCCGTCTCTGTGCAGTCTTCTCTGGGGACTCTGGTTCCGGCCACACCCCAAAGATGTGCATGTGAGTGCCACCAGCATGCCTCAGGTGTCCCCGTCTGAGGAAGTGCAGGTGTGTGTGAAGTGCCTGTGAGGAAGGCCAGTCCTGTGGGGGGTAGAGGTGGGGATGGGCTCCTACCTTGACCCTGGAGGCTCCAGCCACTCAGGACCCTGAACTAGAAGAAGCAAGTAGGGAAAATGAATGAATAAATGAATACAAATGACTGTTGACTACTGAGTGTGTTCTGAGAATTTACAAGTTTGGTGATGTTTCTGGGAGGAGAAATAAGGGGCAGGAACTTCCTTTTGTTTATATCAGTTTAGTCTATATAGTCAAATGGGTTTCGTTAAATGTCATTTTGACTCAAGTGGCAGTTTTGGAGACCCTGTAGGCCACAACGAGGACTAACTGGACACCTCAGTAGTGTAAGCACCATGGACCCATCTATGGAAGGGGGTCTGGCCCTTCCCTGGCTCTGTGGCTCTGGGCAAGTGCCTTAATATCTCCGTGCCACAGTTGTAAAGTAGGTATGAATGTGCCTCAGAGGGCTGATGTGAGGATCAAGACAAATGAAGTGAATGGCTTAACTGTGTGGCTGGCTCATTCTGCAAACTCATCATCATCTTCATCATGATCATCCTTCATTGACCCACCCCACCTCTGTGGCATCCTCATATTAATTTTCTATAAGGCACAAGGTCTAATGGGGTCAGGACAGGGGGAAATTCTTCCAGGCTACTACGCTTTTTGTACTTGTCCTTAATGCTGTGTTCACCCATTAAACATCCTCCTGATTAATGAGCTGTATTCACTTCAAAGAGAATCTCATGGACAAAGCTATCCTGCAGCACTAAAAGACTTTCTCTGAGCTATTTCCTGAACCTTTCAAGACTTCTGGCATGTGAGCTAAGTTCTTCTTCCCAAGCCCGGGGCCTGGTCTGAAACGCGCTGTAACGGAAGGCCACCCGGCCCATCCTGGAAGGTCTCCGTCGTGATCGTCGGCAACGCACGCTTCTGGTAGGGATGCAAGTGTGGCCACATGTGCCTTTCTGTCTCTATCCACAGTGTCAGGAAGTGTCTGTCTCCTTTCTGTCTCTATTCACAGTGTCAGGAACGTGGCTTCTGAAAAACGAAGCACAGCCACTCTAGAATGTCTGAGGAAAGCATCGGGAGGGTCCCACTCCTGCTCTGCTGAGACTGAGATCCTGGAGGAACACAAGTCCATTCTCCAGCCTGCCTCCGTCTGCACACCTACTCCTTCCCGCAGAGTATGGCAACACGCAGCCCCACGCCCTCGCCGTCAGCCATCCCACCCAGTGTGCCTCAAAGACACCAGGCTCGGTGAGACCAGAGCTGTGAGGAAAACCAGCATTTACAACCACTGAGCACTCTGCTCTGTGGCTCACGCCGGAAAAGGCCCAGGCCTCTTTTCTGCTAGCTCAACTAGAGAGACAGCCTGTAAAGGCAAGAGGAGGCAGCACACTAGAGCTCAAGGAACCCGGCCCTTGCCCATCACTGAGACCCAGAACTTTCTAATTTTTAACCACCGAAAAAGAAAGTCTCTCTCTCTCTCACTCCAATCAAGCTGCAGGCTCACTGGGCTCTAAAGCTGATCATCTTGAGCCTAACAAGAAGCATCTGTGGCACGAGATACACTTCCCGCGCACCTCGCAGCCCCTCAGCACGGGCCCCAGCTCGCTCCCCCCACCAGGCTTAGCTTCCTTGATTTTCAGAACTTCTAAAATTAACCTCTGCGATCTTCCTGCTGCCTGTGGAGGGCAGCCCAGGCTGGCGCTACCGAGGCCGTAAGCTGAGCTACAGGTGATTCCGACAAGCTTGCCTTCCAAAGTGCACCACTCCACCTGCCGCCTTGAGCGGGTGATGGGTGGGGCCCTGCGCAGAAGCCCACTTCCAGCTGCTTTTCCTCCTCAGTACCCCGGTGAGTCTGAGCCCGGGGCCAGTCCGGGCAGGGCATGGTGAGCACCACCTGGCCCAGTTTGTTGTCTTGTTTATTATCCAGAGTTCCTCCCTGGGAACATTCCAGCCAGGGATTATATAAGCCTCTGA